AGTTTTTCGCAGGTTGTATACCAGGCAGGACATTTCTTGATTCATGGCCTAAACCCTAAACCCTAAGGATCCTGCAATAAGACACCAAGGCAGAAACATGGTAGGGCACAGGCTTTGGGACAGCTCTCTGGAGGAGCCGAGTCAAAACCGCGAACTTGACCCCGAAACCCTGAAATTACATGAGCTGTAATATATATATATATATATAATATATATATATGTATCTCTCTCTCTCTCTCTCTAAACGCCTTTCGAAGCCGAGAATGTCACCCCACACCCTAAACTGTAAATTTGAAACCTAAACTCAACCCGTCTAAACCCTGAGCGAACACAGAAGGCCGCAACGAATGAGCCGAAGCCTAGAGCCTGAACTTCGGTTGAGAAACGCAGCTGCGAATGTTAGGACGAAAGTCGGCCGAAGACCGGGTGGGAGCCCGAGATTCTGGGGGTATTTCCTGGGTCCTTGTGAAAGACACCTAGTAGTTGAATTACCACACTCTACACTTTTTGGGGTAATATGATCCCGTATAGATTTGAAAGTGTACACTTCTTTTATGCTTACGAACACACAGTCAAAGACTGAGCAAAGGTTTGGCAACGGTTTTCACAGGGTGCTTCAGGGGTTGATAGTGTTTTGCACGAGTGTTCTACGGGTTTTATGCGAGTTGTATAGTCGAACCCGAAACCTTTTGAAGCCCCAAAGCCCAAAACCCCCAAACCCCCAAAACCCCTAAACCCCAAAAGCTCTAAACCCAAAAAATCCCCAAAACCGCAAACCCCAAAAAAACCGAAAACCCATGGGGAGCTCTATGTGGCGCTTTCTCCTCCCTTTAGAGCCCCCAAGGCTCCGAGCAGTGCGCCCGAAGCCATCCCGCGCTGGTGAGGCCAAGTGAAACCAGGGCTTTAGGGTTTAGGGGGTTTAGGGTTTAGGGTTTAGTGGTTTAGGGGTTTAGGGTTCAGGGGGGGGATAGTGTTTAACGGCTTCTTCAGGTGCTTGGGATTTTGGGGCGGTAAGAAGGCCTTGAAAGTTCCTTGAAGGGTGCCATCAGGGGTTTGGAGTTTAGGGTTTTAGGGTTAATGTAGGGGCCTTAACAATTAGAATAGGGTTTTGGAGGTTCCTGATTATAAGTATAGTATACTATACCCCAAACTATTTATTGAGGCCCCTATATTAGGCTGCGTTCCCAGAGAGCCCAATACCCCTTAATTGAGGAATAGACCTTAAATCATCATATTAAGGCCCCTATAATTTAAGGCTACATTCCTTAAGTAGGCTGCGTTATGGGATGAAACTCAAAGGCTCCAAGGAAAGGCCGTTTGGGGTTTAGGGTTTATAGGGCTTAGGGTTTGGGGTTCAGGGCTTAGGGTTTAGGGGTTTAGGGTTTAGGGCTTAGGCTTAGGGTTTAGGTTCTTGCGAAGGGATTTAATTTCAGTTACCATTATAGGGATCCATTGTACTACGATTTGTCTTCTTTTGTTGTGTAATCTGTGCTTGCTGCTTGTCTGTGTTTTGCTTTCTTGCTGTCTGCCTTCTGCTTTGTACTCTTGCTTGTCGTTGCTTGGCGCTTGTGCTTTTTCTTTGCTTGCTGCAGCTTGCGTTTGTTTATTCTGATCTGTTTTTGATTTCTGCTTGTTGCTGCCCTAAACCCTAAACCCTAAATCCACAACCCTAAAAGCCCTAAAGCCCTAACCCTAAGACCCTAAACCCTGAAGCCAAGCCCGCTTTCGTTTTAAGCCAACCTCCGCCTCAAGGGTTCGGGCTGAATCGCCACATGAGACGACAAGTTTAAATAAATGAGGGGGCGTGTTCGTAAGATAAATGAAGAAAGATAATCGCCAAATGAGGGAACACTCTGAAAAGAAAGCATGATGAACCGGAATCGCCAAATGAGAGGGCTTGTTTAAGTTACACGAAGAAACGGAATCGCCAAATGCGGCGGCGTGTTGAAGATATGTCGTGAGAATAGCCGGAATCGCAAAACGAGGGGGGCGTGTCTAAAATATATGATGAGAATAACCGGAATCGCCAAATGAGGGGGGCGTGTTTAAGACATATGATGAACCGGAATCGCCAAATGACGGGGCATGTTCAATATACATATATATATATATGTATGTATGTATGTATGTATGTATGTATGTATGTATATTGAACCGGGATCGCCAAATTAGCGTGCCTGTCTAAGATACATGATGGACCGGGATCGCCAAATGAGGGCTGTTCAAGTTCAGCCCCCCTCACTCCGAGCCTTTCCGAACCATCCTCAACAACCCTAAACCCTAAACCCTAAAAAGCTCTGAACCCTTAACCTTAAACTTAAACCCTAAAAGCCATAAAAACCCTAAACCCTAAGCAACGCCTAGACTCCTCACAGCCTGTCAGCCTCAACCCTGAAACGGTTTAGGGTTTAGGGCTTTATGGCTTTGTGGTTTAGGGCTTACCTGGGGATCCAAAAACCTACCGTATGTGGGTTCTACCCTCTAATTAAGGGAACAGAACCTGCTATTTTGTAGGGTTCGGGGTTACAGGTAGGGTTTAGGGTTAGGGTGAAACACTCTATCCCCAACAAGGCTTAGCATCGGGGAGAACACCCAGTAATGTAGTGCTCGGGATTCTTGGAAAGACGGTTGATGATATAACTCCTGCACTATCCATAAAGCTTCGGGTTTAGGGTTTAGGGCCTAGGGTTTAGGGCTTATGATATAACTCCTGCATTACCCATACGGCTTAGGGTTTAGGGTTTAGAGCTTAGAGTTTAGGGTTTATGACACAACTCCTGCATTACCCATAGTAAGGAATATATATATATATATATCATAATTCCCATAGTTTAGGGTCCTTCAGGTAAGCCCTTATATACGAATATACTCCTATACCAACTTCCCCTAGTTTAGGGTCCTTCAGGTCATGCAGGAGTTATGTGTCATCAACAGTAGTATCCCCTTCCAGTCCCAAGGTGCCTCACAACCCTCTTCCAACCCTTGAGGGAGGTTTAGGGTTTAGGGCCCTGAACCCTATACCCTAAACCCTGAAGAACCTACCTTTTCCAGGGCTCTATATTACGATTTCCTTAGATAAGCTCTTCAAAAATGAACGTTACTTGGGGTTAAGGTAAACCCTAAGCCCTTAAACCTTTAAGCCCCTGAAGGTTGATCCCCAGACCCTCAACCTTGGAAGACCTACGTAAACCCAACCCCAAACTGTCAAAAGCCCGAAGCTCTAAACCCCTGAACCCAATTCCCTAAAGCCTCAAGCCTAAAAAAACTAATAAAACCCTATCAGGGATCCCTTAAGGGATCCTTTAAGGGCTCCTTTAAGGGATCCTTTGAGGGCTCCTTTTTGGGGCTTCGGGAGTTTTCGGTGGTTTTGGGGCTTTCGGGGCGTTGGGGCTTGGGGCTTAGGGTTTGCGTGTTGGAGCCCTAAACCCTAAACCCTTAAACCCTAAACCCCCTGCCCTAAACCGAAGCCCCCTCAAACCCAAAGGGTCCAAGTACCAATATAGTAGCTACTTAGTAGGTAGTTGGACCCCCAAAGTATATACTATACTATTACTTGGACCCTTTGGGAAATCCGCGAGATCAAGCCTGTGCGCTTGCCGACCTCCAGTTCTTGGAGGTACGCGCTTTTGGGGTTTAGGGTTTAGGGTTTCGGGTTTAGGGTTTGGGGTTTAGGGTACGGGCAACGACACAGGGTTTGAGGCTTAATTAAGCTATACCTGGGGATCCAGAAACCTGCCGTTTTCTGGGTTCTACCCTCTACAATTAAGGGGTCAGAACCTGCTATTTTGTAGGCTTTGGGGTCACAGGTAGGTCATAAGGGCAGAAAGGCTGATACTTAAGTAAGGCTTTTGTGTGTTCAAAGACCATACTGCACAAGGCTGTTGGGCCATAACCCTAAAGCTAAACCCGTCCTCGTGGGAGCGTGGGGATTGGCATTTAGGGTTTGAGGCTTCGGATGTACCCAGAGCTTCCGATGTTCCTTATTATAAGGAGTATGCCTTAAACCATAGTAGGATCGCGAATTAAGGAGCTGACATTGGGTTAGAGTAGGACCCCTAATATGATTTAATGTCCAGTCCTGAATTAGGCGAGTTTGGAACCAGCAAACCCGATGAAAAAGCCCGAAACGAACTGACCCTTAGTTGCTCAGTTCATAAGCACACTTTCAGTTTTATAAGGGATCATAGTATCACAAAATAAAAAGTTGAAAGTGTAGTAATTCAGCTACTAAGATCCTAAACCGAGAGATTGACACTACACAAGCAACAGCCCAACCTGAAATTATCAAAGAAGCCCCTCGCCGACAAAGGGCTGGGTAGTTTAGACTTTAACAACGGTTGGGGGAAGTTGAAGATGAACTTTCAGGATTTCCCAATCCAAAGTTTCCAACACAGTCGGGTATTGACGGCTGCGCCCTAAACCCTAAACCCTAAGCCGCAAACGTTTCAAGAGGCAAGCCCGACATAATCCGACAGCCCCGAGACCTCACGCGCAACCAAAGGACTCTGAGACTCCAAACCCTCCAAACCCTAAGCCCTATAACCCAAGCCCGGGACTGCGTGTCAGAAATTCAACATAACTAGGGGCTGAATAGCCTAGCCCGAGCAATGCAGTATACGGGTATAGTTACATATATATATATGTACACACATATTGTGTTAGGTAAGCATGATAGGAATATACAAACCCCACAAGGCCAAAGGTCACCTACCGAGCCACTGAGTAAATTGCCCCGCACCTTCGAGAGAGAGCTTTTCTGAAGGCAGTAGCAATCACAGGTTCGTGAGCCAACGCCGCAAAGCTCTACTTCTACAAGCTGCCGGTGAAACGTTGCGAGGGCCACAAGTCCTCACTTGCCAAACCCTAAACCCTAAACCCTACCACCCTACCTGGCTTTAACCCACGGGGAACCCTAAGCCCTACCAAGATCTCGCAAGGCATCCTGGCGAGGCCCCAAAGGTATCCTTATACAAGACAGCCCGTCTTGTCGCCATGATTCGTCAAGCTCTTACGAAGAGTGTGTTGCTGAAGGCGAGAAAGCCAAAGCTGAAGAGCAGAAGGCCACTGTTCAAGCAGGCGCCTTCTGCTGAACTCACCTGAACCTCCCTGGTGGTGGTGGTTGTGGAGGTCGTGGTCGTGTTGGGGCACAGGCCGGCGTTGGCGCCTTGCATGGCTACCTTGTAGGAACCAGTACAGGAATCCAGGGATGGTTGCGCCACGCAAACGTTGGGGTCAAGGCTGCAAGCCAGGCCGCTGTAGTAGCACATCACAAGCGCATCATCCTGGCAAAGATACTTAAAGCTGCCGGAGCCCGCCATGCTGTCAGTGGTCGCGCAGACCTCGAGGGGATACACTGACATGTTTTCTGGCGTTGTTTCGCAGTCTTTATCCGTGTAGTAGGCAAAGGAGATTGAGTGAGCTGTCACCAACGTCGCCTTGGAGGTAGTCTCGTCCGCCTCATTACCACAGTGGTCGAGCCACTCGATCGCCATGTCTTGCGGGTCTGTGCAGTTGGGGTTTCCGTGCGACTCGATTTCTACAGTCACGGCGTGTGGGCGGGGCACGATGGCGATGGTCTTGGCATCCTGACATCTGCCAACCTGCCCCACAACGTAGCTTCTCGTCCTGAAAGGTGGAGGAAACAACCTAAGCTTTGTGTTTCTGCTTCCTCTAAGCTACACTCTAAAGACTCTAAAGCTTAACTGGAACCTACAAGTGTAAATCCAGAATGCATGAAACCGAATCCAATCCAAAGTTCGCTAAACCCTGACACCCTAAAACTTGCCCCGAATCCTGAAGCCGAATCCCCAACGACTTCCAGCTACGGTTTGGTCGCTGCCCGCAGTGGCCTTGTATCGCTCGCGCAGTTGCTGCTGTTGAAGGCGTCCCTCACCACCCACTCAAACATCTCAAACTGCGTGGCACTCATCGCAGGCATGATGGCCAGAAGAAGCCCCAATCCCAGCATCCTAAACCTAAACCCTGATCCCGGCGGTGGAGAGGAAGTGCAGCTTAAAATCTGCACGTTTTCGGGCCGAAAGCTTCTCGTGTCAGGGTTCAGGATGGTCTTTGGGTTCAGGGCTGTAGGCCTAGATGTTCAGGGCATAAGGCTCAGGCGGTTCAGTATGGGGTTTACATATGGTTAAGGGTTTGGAACGCCCAATACCTTTTGATTATAAGGAGTCGTGTGTAGCTTTGATCTTGATATCAAGCTCCTTATGACTTAATAAAGGTATTGGGCTCTCTGTCTCTCCGGGTATCTGGACTCGTTTACACTTTAAACCCCAAAGTCCCCAACCCTAAACCCTACGTCCCTAGACCGTGTTCAAGCAGCATCAGACATGTGGGACGCCAGTGCAGCCGATCCAAAAACGGTCAGGCTGGACCGTTATGACAGAAGCACCCCAACCCTTGCAGTACCTGTAGCCCGGAACGATGGCCCGAAACTCTGAAACTTAAGATGGTAGGGGTTTTTGGACACCGTAAACTTGACTCTAAACCCTAGCACGCCATCCCCAATAATTGAGAACCATACCGAACATAATAGTCTTAAAAACCCCTTCGAGATGCAATTACCATATTACAAAACCAACAAGTTTCCTAAGACCGCTTGAGTTTCGGCTACTGGTAAGCCACCATGCAGATGCTTCTCTCAACTTTGGGGTCAGCGCTCCCGATGTGTAGGGGGTTTCCGAAAATAGGGGACCCTAATATAGCATAGTAGGGTGCTTATTTTAAAGGACCCCAAAATAGGGTACCCCTAATGTTCGGAAGCTCCCATGTGTGGGGAAGAGGTGTTTGGGTGAGCCAGGGCTGGTTTACTTCCCGATTCTTTGCAGCTGCAGGGTTGCGATAGGAATGAGTGGCGAAGTTTAGTATCCTGCCCTAAAACCCTAAAGCTGATACACCCTAAACCCGCAACATCCCGAAACCCGAAACCCTAAACCCCAGGGGCCCTTGCGCGCTTGGGGTTTACGGCTATTTAGGGGGAGGGTCCCGGCCACTGGGTCTGGGAATGTGGCATTGAGGGATGTAGTAGGACTGGGACTCGACACCCCAAAACCCTACATACCCCCATGTTAACCTATACATCTTTAAGCTAAAGGAAACTAGGGTATTAGGGCTTCTATAGGGCTTCAATAAGGTATATAGCTCCTATGACGGTAACTATCCACCTGAAAATGTCCTAGATACGGACCCCCATGTTAACCTACTGCTTTAAGGGTTATACTATGTAAAATAAGGGGTAAAACAATCCTACGATTGTGTAGGGTTTGGGGCTAGAGGTAAACCGTAAACAGCTGAAAACAACAAAAACAACTGTGCTAGCCTCCCCATGAAGACCCTAAGCCCTAAACCCAAAATCCTAAACCCTAAACCCTACCAACAAGACGAAGACTCCGTTACTGAGGTCGGGACGGCTGGGAGCTGCCAGCAGCCTGCCAATCACTGACCCGGTTATGGGTTTAGGGTTTACCGGAAACTCCGCACCAAGAAACCCGGCAGTCCTTTAAAGGGTCGAGATCAGGGTTTAGGGTTTAGGGTTTAAGGTGGTGGGTTTAGGGTCTAGGGTTGTGGTTGAAGATCTTCGGAGTTGGTCCAGGTCGTTTAGAACTCGCGCGCTGGGTGTTGGGAATCACGTGTAGGATCCTTAATTTGGGGACTGGGCAGTGTGGGCTGCAAGTAACCGGTACACCCGATACTGCTGCAAATGACAAGATGCGCAATATAGGCGCCATAGTGCTAGTTAGAATAGGGTTTCTTTGAAGGGCTGTGTAAAGGGAAGGGGTATATCACGGCTCTACAATCAGGGTTCTTAACAGGGTTTTAGTATAGAGGCCTTAGCAACGTGGGGCGGGGGGGGGGACATTATAGCAGAATAGGATTGCGAGCTAAGCGGGATCCTTCTGATAATTCTTCCGACCCCTTTCCTCGCTCTTGACTCTCGGCCTTTGCTGCGAACATTCTGAATTAAGTGTGTGGGGTTTTCTGGTTTAAAGGGGCTTGGAGTGTAAGGTTTTAGGCCTCAGGGTTCTGGAGTTCTAGAGCGTGGGGTTTTGGTTTAGGGCTTAGGGCTTAGGGTTTAGTGTTGCTGGAAGGCCACTCGAAACTGCAAGAAACCCCGGGCCTGCTGCTGCTGCTGCAGCAGCTGCTGTTGTAGCAGCTGCTGTTGGTTCATGTGTTGCTGGTTCATCTGTGGCTGTTGCTGGCCCATGGGCTGTCCCATCGACCCTCCCATGGACTGTCCAGTCTGCTGCTGGAGCTGCATTTGCCTGAAAAGCAAGGGGCACTTCCCAGAGAACCCAATACCCCTTAATTAAGGAATATACCTTAAATTATAGGGGCCTTAATAGTATGGGTTAAGGGGTATTCCTTAATAAAGGGGTACTGGGTNNTCTGCTGCTGGAGCTGCATTTGCCTGCAAAGCAAGGGCAGACTTGCAGAGGGAACCGTATACTTCCCGCTGGAATATTCCAGCACTAGTGTCCCTAATGTTTGCTAGCTCCGAGAATCCCAACAGCTGTATGGGT